TAAGAATCTTTAACAGAATATTTTTATCCTTTCTACTACCGATTTCATATTTTAATCTTGCTTGAGAGAAATATGGGTTTAAGTTTCCTCCCCAGCCTTATTAACCCTTTGATATCATAGCGTTGTCTAGAAAACCCTGTGAACCTCACTGTTCACTTGCCTGGTAGTTCTCAGGATATCGAAGCTGATACACCATTTAATTAGACCTCATGCCATTAGACGTGACCTCAGTCTTTCAGATCACTTCTGTGTTCGTGTCCCCACTGTTACTATGAATTATTTCTACAACCCATGACCTCTGTTGGTGAATTCTTTCAAGGTTTCCATTTCTTGAAATATGCTCCCAAAGTAGCAAAATCAACTGGGGTCCTTATCTTATGTTGCTAGTTTCTTTTCCTTCATGTTGTGGGGCTTTTCTTTCAGGCTCTTCTCTTTCCCCAGGCTTCAGACATGAGGCTCAAAAAAATTTATTCTAGCTTTCTTAAAACATCTCTTACCAGCCCCCCCCACTCACCAAGTAGTGCACCCACATTTATATGATCCTATTTGATCTCATCTCAGAATTTACAGACTTGGCAAATAGTTGTACAAGGAAATATGGAGGATTGGGTTGCACTTTGTGCTTTACAAACATTATCTCATCTTGCCCTCACATTAAGGGTCAGTGCAGTGATGGAATTTGAATGGAGATGACTGGCTCGTGGGGGTTTGAGCTCAAATGACAGATCCCTCAACCACAGTGATGCTGCATTTTCTTTGTGATATTCTTGATCACAGTGTGGCCCTTGGACCTTGATGTTCTCTCTGTTCAGCTCCTAGGTACGTGGTGGGGGCAGGGTGGTTTGCGTTATAATCAACTTGTTGTTTAATTTGGCTCTATTTAGCCTTTCTGGGCTAGTATTCTTGGCATTGCTAATTATTTGCTCTCCTGTAAAATGGAGATTTAACTCAGCTGAGAAACAAAATGTCCCTACCTTACCTCAATCCCCCTTTTCGTAGAACCCTACAGAGTTAATAATTTGGAGTATGTACTTGAAGATATACCCCAAAGGCTATACATACACTATGTCCATTTATCTATATCATACATACACAGATTTAATTGTACAAAAATGGGATCATGTCCCCATTACATATATTTACATGATAATCCATGTAGACCATATTCATTCTTTTTAATGCTAAAATTATTCCATTGAATGGAGGTACCATATTTCATCTTTTTTTTTTTTTTAGGAACAAAGATATAATGAAAGATTTTTTTCACAAGAGTGGGTTAAATACACACAAGTGGTAAATTATAGAGCAATTTTAAATAACCCGATCAAAAACCAAAGAATGTCGAAGATGTACAAGTGTGTGGCTGCACTTGAGGCCGCTGTGGCCCCTGGAGTGAGATCACAGCCCCTCAGCCCGGGACCCACAGACACAGTGCTTTCAAATGACGTGCAAGTGAAATCATCAAACAGGCGCTTGATGGAAGACGTCGGCAGCCAGGGGGCCAGCTCCAGCCCACCGGCCCTGCCCTTCCTGGGCAGCCTTCACTTCCCGTAATGCCCAGTCCGTGTGTGATCTTCCAGGGCAGAGCCCATAGCAGACATGGATCAGTTGACCGTGTAGGCAAAAGCCGCAAACCCGACTATAACAAACAAGTTCGCCAGGGCGCCGCCCAGGAGTCCGTGGTGCCGGTTGGCCTGCTGGAGCCCCGCAAGGTGTGGCCCAGCCCCTGGCGCATGCCCATTGAGGAGCTGAAGCCCGTTCTGACCATGGTGTGTTTCCCCATCTGGAACCACATCTGGTAAGGGGAGAGCCTGGGGTCGGCTACTGAGTTCATCTTGGGCTCTCTGTTTTTGTTTAATTTCCTCCACGACTTCATTATCCTGTAGGTGGGTGTGTAGGTTTCTTCCAATATGTTGCCCTTATAAATACAATGAATTTTATTGTACATATATCTTTCCACATAAATACATAAAATATTTCTGTAGGATTGTTAGAAGTAGGATTTCTATGCTGAAGAATTTTTTTTTTTTTTTGAGAGTGAAAGAGAGCACAGGCCAGGGGAAGGGCGGGCGGGGGGGGGGAAGGGGAAGAGAGACAGAATCCTTAAGCAGACTCCCTGCAGAGCGTGGAGCCCAATATAGAGGGCTCCATCTCACAACCCTGAGTTCATGACCTGAGCCGAAATCAAAAGTCAACTGCTTAATGGACTGAGCCACCCAGGTGCCCATGTGCTGACGGATATTAATGCAATTTTCAAGGATCACCCATCTGCTCTGTTGGGGAGGCAAAAATATTTTCCTCTTTTCTTTCTTTAAGAATAAATGCTATCTAATCAATTGGATATTTGCAATTCTTTAGCATTTCTCCCACTGTTTCTTCCTTCTTTAGGTTCCTTTTAACCACCTTTTCCCTTGTGAGGGTGAAACACTGATTTAAAAAAAAAAAAAAAAAAAATTCCAAGCATTTATTCTATGCCAGAGACCATTCATAGAAATGGCTAAGATGGACATGGAGCTGACATTTAATTGAGGGTGGTGACTGAAAGGAAAGAGATGATAAACACGACCCTTGCAGGTTGAGACATTATATAAAGTAAAATATACAGGATGATGTATTAGAGGATGTTACAGTTTTCTATTGCTGCACAAAAAACCAACACACATCAAATGGGTTAATACAGAAACACTGATTAAAAAAAAATTTTTTTTGACACAGCTGTAATACAAATTTTGATTTGACAACAACCATCACTGTAACATGTCAACTTTTAACTTTTCTCTGTTGCCAATCCTTGCTTATACATAATTATAATTTTAAGATATCTCTATTTTTTATGACTATGAAAGTGATATATACTTATTATTAAAAAAATCACAGAAATGTGTAATTAGAAAATGAAAGTCACTCTCAATTCTACTCCACCCCCAAAGATAAACACTATTAACAATTTATAAATATTTTCTTAGTTACCTCAAAACATAGATATGATTTATATTTACCTAGTAATAAATATTAGCCATTTTTATATGTTTACAAAATCTTTGTAATTACAGTTTCTCCCAAAAGACTTTTGTTTGGACTGGAATCTATTTTTTTAAAAAGATTTTTTTTTAAGATTTTATTTATTTATTTGACAGAGAGAGAGAGCGAGAGAGGGAACTCAAGCAAGGGGATATACTATATATACTATAAATGTAAATCTTTGTCCAGATTTTTTATCATTTTCCTGGGATAAGTTCCTACAAGAGGAATTTGGGAGGAGAGGGCTTAAATATTTTAAGACTCTGAAGATTTTTCCTATCCTAAATCTCTAAGTATAAGATTACTCATCTAATGATTTTCATTGTAAGTGGTTACATAATACTGTTTGATTCTGTAGTTTACTTAGCTATTCTCTTACTGCTGGATTTCCAGATGTTATGGCTGTCTCACAGGCTGCTGAGAAAATTAAATGAGAGAGCATAGTAGGGAACCCAGCCCTGGGCCTGAGAGGGCAACTCCATTACTTTGGAAAGAGCAGGGATTCTGAGATTTCATGGGACCTGGGTTCAAATCCTGATTTTGCCTGTTACCAGCTGGATATTTGTGGGCAATTTGCTCCCTGAGGTTCAGGGGCCTCCTCTGTACAATAGGGGCAACAATATTTCCCCCAAAGGGTTAGTATGAGGATTAAATGAGGAAATTTATGTAAATGCGATATAGAATCTTAAATGTCAGTTCCCTTCCCCTAGCCAATTGAACCTTGAATGAGAAGCCTAAGAAGCCTTTTTCCTAATATGGGGGCTTCCATTCGTTTGAGATGACAAGTGTAGAAGGGAATAGTGAAATTTTAGGTCTGGAAGGGGTCTTAGCTTAATCCCTTTATTTTCTTGGTGAGGAAATTGAGGCCCAGAGAACTCAGGTGACTTCTCTAAGGTCACACAGTGATTTTAGTAGGATGGCTGGAGATAGAATCCAGGTTTCTATTTCAGCATCCAATGTGTTTTGGGCAGTCTCTCCTAGAATCTCACGGCCAGCCTCTCACTCTCGGAAAAGTCACATTATGATTCATCTGAGGTCACTCTCCAGGGAGATTTCCTGTGAAATTGGCTGGAGAGATTCTCACACCCTTTATAGAATTCTTGGAGCCTGGGTCAGGAGGTGATCAGCTCACTTTGTCACATTCCATTTCAGGCAAGGCCAGGATGGAGCGACTTCCAGATGATTTGGGGGCTAGGTATCTCTAGAGGGTAGGGCAAGCCTCCTCTCTTTTCTGGGGAGATGAAAAATTGGTGGAGTGGTCACACAGGTCAGGTCTGGACTGGAAACAAGGCGCTTGACATCACTCAAGACCCAAACACTCCAGGGTTGCCTGGGTGGCTCAATTGGTTAAGCATCTACTTTCAGCTCAGGTCATGATCCCAGGGTCCTGGGATTGAGCCCCGCATCGGGCTCCTTGCTCAGTGGGAAGCCTGCTTCTCC